AATCTATGCCACGAAGAATTGAGGCAGTTCTGAAGGCAAAAGGGGGTCCAACCCGTTACTAGCGTGGTGTACCTAATAAAGTGGCCGGTGAGTGTAGGTGACAGCGGAAATAAACCTCCATCAGTACCAGGCTCAGGCAGCCTAGGCTAGTTTGGGTCAAAGACAGGAAAGAGACACAAACAGAATAACTGCCGGTGTAGTTTCTATGGTAAGAAAGACAAATGGAAGCASACATTAGTGATAGAAATAACTGAAAATACAAACATAGAAAGGAATGTGATCATTCTATGCTTCAACAGTCTAAACCTATTGCAGCATTAGTAACAGATAGCTCAGGAAACCCAAGCCAACCCTATTATCAAAAAGAAAAGTCTTCAGTCTAATCTCAAAAGCAGAAAAAGTGTCAGCCTCACGGACAGAAACTGGTAGTTGGTTCCACAAGAGAAGAGCTTGATAACGGAAAGCTCTGCCTCCCGTTCTACTTTTAGGAACTCGAGGAACCTCAAGTAAACCTGCAGTCTGAGAGTGAAGTGCTCTGTTAGGAAAGTATGGAACAATAAGATCTTCAAAAAAGATGGAGCTTTGTACTTGTATGTTAGAAGTAAAAATTTTAATTCTATTCTGAATTTCATACAGCTAATAGAGAGAAGCTAAACTGGAGAAAAACGATCTCTCCTATTAACTGTCACCAGAACTCTAGCAGCAGCATTTTGGATCAACTGAAGACCTTTTATGTAATATTCATGTGTTTATTTCTTGCAGGGATTTCTTGAGCAGGTCATGTTTGTAAATAAGAACTGGCTCCCAAGTATTTCACCTTTAGAGATAAGGGTCAAATAAAATAATAAATTTAACGTTTTATTAGTAGGGTACTTTACACTGTAGTTTATTATTCAAGGTTATGTAACTTTGTTACATAGAGTTTGTGGTAAACTACTTTTTAAACTTTAGCTGTTGGTTGACTGTGTTTTTAATGTTTTTTTATTATTAGATTGCTCTTTGAAGTAACATTTATAAATCACGACTAATGGTAAACAGTACTGGCAATGGTACCCTGCTTTTTTATTTTAGTTACAACACAAAAAGCTAAGCAAGTTATTTTTTTTTCTTTTTCAAACCAACTCCACTTGGTTGAATTTTACTTCCCATCTTCCCTGACAGCTGTAAATAAGCTCTATATTCAAAAAATAATCTTCCTCCAATCATTCTAAGCGCTATCAACAAGTGGTGAGATATTAATTGTTCACAACTTCTCCACAGAACCCCACTTCACGCAAGCCAAAATATCCCTTTTAGGAGCTGAACTCAGGAAATGATTTGTGCACTTTCGCTTCACTGCTTTGTGTTTATTAATGCAACACAGTGCAGTGAAAGGAAAGATTTTATCATGACCCAACAAATTACTGTTTGATTTACAGGTCTGATAAACAGCTAATCAAAAAGTGAAGTAATGTTTGCTGTGTCTCTCTCAGGCGTTGGCTGTTAGTGACCATTTCCCTGTGGAGGTGAAGCTGATGAGTTAAGCTCCTGCAGCCCGAATCATGTATTCAAGTAACAGGATTCACACTAAACTTGAATCCAAAATAAATGCATTCCACTTGAAACCACTGACCTTTGTTTGTGGCCATTTGTGCTGTACTAAGTAATTCTCAGGTATGGGAACACAGAAGCTACAA